TAATAAATAAGAAACAACATCACATACATTGATCAGATACCAAGATTAGTAGCTATAATTCCCGTATTATGGAGTACCTCAACGAAGGCACACCACCCAGATCTGAAACAATAAAGAAAATTAATTTTCTACAGTGACCCGACCGATGAGATGGTAGCTCGGTCGCATAGTGGATAAGCGCTGCTGTTCGCGAACGTTGTTGCTAAGTAATTTTCGTAAGGGTCGGTCACGGGAAGGGTGACCAAAAAAAATATTATCTCGAGCTACTCCGTGCTGCATTTGTAGTCGTTAATACCCTCCAATCCGCGTTGGACTAGCGTAGAGGGTTATAGCTCATCCTCCTTAACTATTCATAAGGAAGGCCTAAGCCCCTGTTGTGGGGAAGTAAAAAGAGCTGATTATGATGGATCTAAAAATTTTTTTTTTTTAACCATCGCGTAAATTGATGAAAATTGAGATATAAGTACAATTTTTGTATATAATAAGCAAGACATTACAATGATACCAACAATATAGAATCAATTAATTTATATTGCTAGTTGTAAACTGTCTCTGACCCATCTGAGTGTTCTATAAAATAATGACAGAACAATGAAAGTGAAGAACAGAAATCATCTGCATCACCACACGCGACCCTCATCGACCAGTATAACTAAGCCATAATAAATGTCGCATCTTTGAGGTCCCGGTTTCAATTTTATATTGTCTTTGTTCTGGATTTTATAGTATCTTCGTTTTTACGAATTAAGGGTCGTTATATAATGTTATCTAATAATTATTACGAATAACAAAAAAAAAATCTACATCTAAGTTTATAGGTAACTAGAATATTTCAAAATTCTGTAAATGATTTTGTACGCCACCCATAATCAATGTTTATGTGTAAAATCAAGTAGAAAAATTGACAGTTTTATATAACCTAACATGGTGTTGACTGTACCTAAGCGTTTGCATAAATTGCCAAAATAATTTATATTTTTCCTTCAACATCGAATAAATAAGCGTTGTGCTATAAATCTAACAGCGGAGATACCAACTTTTATGACAGATTAAACGGGATATTAAAAAAGTAATTTATTTCAAACGTCGACGTCTCGCTTATTAGAAAATAATGACTCATAAAAATGTAACGTTTTCACTTTAGTGGGGCAAAAGTCAATTGTAACGAAGGTCATCTTTTATGTACTAAATAAAGGACATCAGCAGCGAAAATATCTCAAATAAACTTGAGTTTGACGGAAAAATTGGTTTCTTCGAACACAATTTTCTTAAAAGGTCGAATTTCTTGTCATTTCTCTGAGCCGTTCCAATTTCGTACCAAACTAATAGAAGATTATTTAAATTTTGACGTGAATAAACTCCCGCCATGCCCTGTTGGCTGTATGAATTTGAATCAGAATAATTTATATGGACCGCAAATCTTTCTAGAAAATATATGAATGTAAATAAATTATCAGTTTAAATTAGTATTTTGAAAATCTATTTAATTGTAGATATAAACAAATTTCATTTCAGTTTTGAGTTACAAACACGTCTGCTTACGTTGTTTTAAATTCAAATAAATGTCTATATATATATAAACATCAGATGAAACTAACTAAATATAGAATTATAAAATGTCCCTGACAGAAGATTTCTTCAATGTTTTCCGTGATCTGGTTGCGTTTTCTTGTCTTATTTTTATATAAAAATGTTTTTGGAAGAATATTCCATATTTGGCTACTTTCTTCTACTATCAGTTGGTCACACAGTCTCAAATTTTCAATTAATCATGTGTTAATAATGCTTAAACGATTTTTTTGTAGATGATGTAAAGTTATTTGTTTCAAACATCCAAAATAATATGTATTTATGTAAATATATTCAGTGATATTTATCAGTATAGCATTGTGAATGTAAAACTGATCAAATATAATATACTAAGTGATTTCAAACATTTCCTGATGAGTGAGGCCCTAGTCTGTAATCCCATCATCATTGATATAATTCGGGCATGCATAGCCAGTCCAATGAATCTTAACTATTCAAAAGGGTTTGCTTAGGATATTTAGGACAGATCAGTAACTCGATTTGTAATAGATATGGATATGAATCCTATATTGACACAGGACATATGTCTGATGATTTATGTTCAAAAGGATCAAATGTACCTCCATCGGGAAATCATGAAGGATTAGCTACCTATGGGAAAATCTCTGTCTTGTAAATAGTTGTTTTGCGATATCATTTAACGTATGGTATACATTCATTAATAATTTGTTGTATTTCTTGTTGTTCTTCTAAGCTTTTTCGTTTTTTAATTTCCGTACCCAAAGGATGAAACTGGAACCCTATTACTAAGACTTCGCTGTCTGTCTGTCAATAGGCTTTATCTCATGAACCGTGAAAGTAAGACAGTTGAAATTTTCACAAATAATGTATTTTTGTAGCCGCTTCGACAACAAATACTAAAATCAGAATAAAATAAATATTGAAAGGCGAAATATTGAAAAATTATTTTTTTGCTTGTTTTTGCTCAATATTGATAACGACAACAAGTAGACATTTGAAGTATTTCCAAATTATGTATTTATATGGCAACTTTAAAAATAAATAATAAAACAAAACTTTAAGGTGGGCTTCCATACAACGAATGTAATTTTTTGCTCGTTTCCGGTACGGAAACATTTTATGCGCGTGTCCGACTCGCGCTTAACCGGATTTTTAAACCGAAATCTTGATAAAGCAATAATTTGACAAAGTGTCAATATGAAGCTTCTATTGTAATTTCAAGTCAAGTTTGTATTGTTAATTTGATCTACTCGTATTACCTCAAAATTAATATTTAATTGTATATCACCCTGCTTTACATTCGCTAATAAAATTAACTTTAGTACCAATGTTTAGTTAAAGTTTACAGGGCAATTATTATTTGTGAATTAATGTTTTTTTTTTGCCAGATGTCTATCTTTGTTTTTCGATAAATTTAAAAACTGAAATATTCTCAGCATTTCTTAATACAAAGAAAATCATTTCAATAAACTAAAAAAATAATAATTTTTAATAGTAATCTTTGGAAAACATCCATAAGAATTCAGGTTCCAGCTGACATGGTTTTATGACTTTTTACACTTTACCCAATAGAAAAGAGTATGATGTATTATTTTATTATTTAACTAGCCTTCCGTCAGCGGCTTCGCCCGCGTGATCTAGTTTTAACTCCAGAAATAAGAAAATTCTTTAAAAACTTATTTCCCCTAATTTACCCCTTACCCCTTATGGGATGAATTTTATAAAATCCTGTCTTAATTCGCCGCCCGCATCTACGTCCTAAAAAGAACCCGCATGTAAAATTTGAAACTCCTAGCACTGAATGATGAGTGAGTGAGTGACCTTTCGTTTTTATATATATAAATAATCAGATAACTTTTAAATGTCCTCATTGGCGGGGTTCAAGCCTTCCCTAGGGAGAATAGGCCATGATCCACTACGCAGGCCCTATGCAGGTTGGTGGATGTTAACCAGAACAGATGCAGCAGGACGCAGACGCAGGAGCAGACGTAACAAGAGCACCAGATGATAAATTTTTGATAACCTATCCTATTAAGTTCTTCGTGCGACATCTAATCAAATTCTTCTGGACTCTGCTATGTCGAGGTAGATGCCGTGATGCTAAGTCACCAAGACTCATAACGGCTTAGCAGGCCTATTCTGTTTCCGTAACAGTCGCATCTCTAGAATCTCGACTAGGTTATAATATTGGACTTAACGTAGATGTGCTCAGTGGCGTAGTGGATAAGCGCCGCGGCCCGCGATCGTTGTCGTTAAGCAACTTTCGCAAGGGTCGGTCACGGGATGGGTGACTAAAAAATTATTATCTCGAGCTACTCCGTGCTTCGGAAAGCACGTTAAGCCGTTGGTCTCGGCTGCATTTGCAGTCGTTAATACCCTCCAATCCGCATTGGGCCAGCGTAGAGGGTCATGGCCCATCCTCCTTAACCATCCATAAGCAAGGCCTGAGCCCCTGCAGTGGGGACGTAAAAAGGCTGATGATGATGATGATGATGAAAATGCAAGTCGTTGAGATTCTATTAAGATGCGATTTTTACGTAAACGTTAGCAGAATTTTTAACGAAATCTACAGGAGATTTCGTTAAAAAAATAGTTTAAAAAAAAATAACAATCACTTATATAAACGAGTCGTTTTTAAATAGGTTATTTTTGTTGCAGTTGATACGACCGCGCAGTACGATGCTGTTCGGGCATATTTGAAAGAGTTGGATATCTCTAATGCGGTATGGGTCGGTCTTATCCGCAGTAACCCTGACGGAGATTTCACTTGGACGTAAGTTGTTTGTACTATTATCTTTTAGTAGTTTATAAATACGGAATAGGGATGACGACTATATTATTTTACTACGTTAGATAGATTTTTGAAAAATATTAAACACGTATTTTTTTTTAAATTTTGCGTGATAATTAAATTACGGCGATAAATTGAGTTACATGACGTCACGGTTTGTGACGTAACGCCCCCACTCCTCAACTTTGATGCCTGTTATCGAAGCAATTTCTTGTTAAAAAGAAATACGTATCTATTACTTTTCTATTAACTGACTAACCGACTAAATAGAATTTCCTTTTTTTACCTAGTCATCGTCCCTATTGAAACAGCTAATACTATATACCTATATATATCATGGCGATCATGAAGTTTCACAAAAATATTTAAAAAAAAGTTCGTAATGTAGTGAAACGGGTTTTTATTGAAATAATCAAACGGAAATACCTGGTTTTTATAAATATATTTGTCGCTTAACATTATAAAAAGTCACTAAATAAAATAAATATGAAAATAGAGACACTTTTTATCATCGATTGTACGTATATAAATGATTAATTCTATAAGTAATCCTGCCAAGAGTAGATGAATATCTCGAGGGAAATGATATACAAGTTCGTTCTCATTCCGCCCCATGGGGAGCGCTTCACTGCTTCATGTTGTGAATAACTAAGGAACAATGCCCAAATCAAAACACATTTGTTGTATTCTTAATGCATCTTTATTTATAAATTTTATAAACTATTCAAACAAGACTCGTAAAATAATATTCAGAAACAATTTTTTATCAATTCAGTTAATAAAACGACTATAATGATGTATATATTCAGTTATACCTTGACTCGGTAGCATAGTGGATAAGCGCTGCGGCCCGCGATCGTTGTTGCTAAGCAATTTTCTCAAGGGTCGGTCACGGAATGGGTGACCAAAAACTTACTATCTATAACTACTCCGTGCTTCAGAAGGCACGTAAAGCTGTTAGTCCCGGCTGCATTTGCAGTCGTGAATATCCTCCAATCCGTATTAGGCCAGCGTGGAGGGTCATAGCCCGATCTCTTTAACCAACCATAAAGAAGGTCTGACCACTGCAGTGAGGACTGATGATGATGGTGACATCTTTGTATCATCATCATCATCAGCTTATTCATTTGCTAAGTACTGGGCTTTCACTATGGAAGAAAATTAAATAAGAAGAACAGACCGTAACCGACGAGTACGATCCGTGAAGCGCCACAGGTCCAGCAAGGATAAGTGGGTGCCAATAACTGAAGTCGTATCTGGATCATTAGTCTAACGTGACTTCCGAAGCACAAAGGAGCTCAAGATAATATATCCTTGATTACCCATTCTTGAGAAAATAGCTCAATGAAACCCTGAATTACAGATTGAAACCCACGATCCATTGTGCTATGGAGCTGACAAAAGTGACAGAAGTTGTTCATGATTATTGTTCTTTACCTAATGTAGTGACTACCGGGGCTTAAGCGGCGATGGTTACTGGAGTTCTGCACCAGACCCTCGCTCTGCACCACTTTGTGCAGCCGCAAACCCAGCTGCTGATTACCGGTGGGAGGCGCGCGCTTGTGGTGGCCCATCTGTGGCATCATTTATTTGCGAGCTACCCGGTACGTAAATGCTGGTATTTCCCAATACTATCTGAGGTCTATTGTAAATTAATCTTCCTAAAAAATTCAATAATACAATACGATGTAAAGACTCATGGATACGATGTAACCTTCTTATTGGTAATAAACTTTTGGTAACACCTTATTATAGTCAAAATGCAGTATAAGATCAGAATACATTCTAATGGAGTGTTAGAACTATGACAATTTATAAAGTACAGCATTAAGAATTAAGAATAATTAAAAAATAAATGTAATGATATGATTAAGAGTAAGAGATATTCTTTATTTACAGTACCACAATGGGCTCTGGGCAGCGAAGGCTGCATGGTCAGAGAACTACCGGCGCTAACAGTTCTCTATTTACCTGAAAGTGCGGCAGTACAACTTACTGCTGACTGTGGGCTAGCTGGCGTCAAAAAAGTCCAGTGTACTGGCAATTTGGTATGACTTACATGATTTAATTCATATTCGGGAACATTTTGATCAAAACTATAGAATTTCAAAATCTGTTTTATTGTATTTTGTTAAATCTTTATGTTTTTTAAATTGTGTGCTAAACTACCTTCAGCTACCGCAGCAAGTCATTTGTTGTGCATCAAAAATCAAATTAATAAATAAATCTGTATAATTAATATAAATTGTAAAATGTTGTTTATAACAAAATTATTTTACAGAAACGTGAAGTTCTCTTACGTGGTCTTTCCTGTGGTGAAGAAGACGAGCAGTCTAGCACTCCTAATACAGGAGCAACAACCAGCATTTCCCTATCAATTGTATCATCTGATAATACATTCACTGATCAAGATACAATCAACGACGTTACTACAGATGATGCTATTACAACAGAGCATGAAGATGACATCAATCAATCCAGTACAGTAAAGCCAACCGAATACCCATATCATAAGTACCCATCACTTTCAGAGACAGCTGCAAAACAAATTATAAATAACGTAAACAGAGTACTCATCAATAAAAATATAGATTTAGATAGTGTTCATAATAATTTGCAAAGTAACAATATACCAAAATTATATGGCAATGATAATTTCTTACCAAGTGATTTATCTGAAAAGCTTGAAGATGAAACACACAAACAACACAAAATATTACACGATGAAATAGCAAGGCATGGAAATTTTGAAACCATATTTACCCAGCCCACTGATCACTTTGTACCTCCATTAGTTATGGCAAAAGCAAAAATTAGTGACGATATGACGGTACTTTCTTTAGAAGAGAAGCACGCCCAGCAAATTGCTGAACAAAGATATTCCAAACACATACATGAAGATAGTTTCGCATCAGAAAGCCAAGTTATGGCATCTTCAATGGTCAAAGATGAAATGAATTATACGAAAAATGATGATAGGCCTCTTATAACTACAACGACTGCGACCACATTTAAAGGAGATATCAAGAAAGAAGTTTTGAAAACTATTGTACCTAAAAAATATAATGACAAGTACTATGGTCTAAAAACAAAAAATTCAAAAGCAATGGAGTATAAATCAACTAAAAATGATAAAGTTACTGAAAAAATTTCTGCTTCCACCAAATCTCAACTGAATGAATTTGATTCTACCACATTAAAGTACGGCAACGATGACTCAGATCAAATAGAAAGTGAACCATCTATAGATTTAACTGTTATAATAAAAGAGTCTAATGTAAATGATCTTAAATTAAAAACGTCAAATATTGTTGGGAATATACCGAAAATTGAGATAATTCAAAACGATACCACTATCACAGAACCTGAAATCAAATTAGAAAATTCAAAAATTAATAATGATGAGATAACTCAAGAAATTTCAGTCAAGCTACCGAAATCATCTGTTAATAACTTAACATTAGATCATGAAGTTATCAAAATAACAATTCTTAAAGAAGATAACTCAAATGAGACACCCACAGTATTAGAAGTTACTACTAAAGTGCCAGTTTTTGATGATGAAAATATTAAAACTACGACCTCTCCCCCATTTCAAAATTCGACTGATAAAACTCTAAAAGATACCATTATACAAAATTATAGCGTGAAAAATAATAATACCATAGCAGACAAAATTCTAAGTGAAACAACACCGCTCCCTCAAACTATTACAAGTACTTTAAAATTAGAATCAACTGATAACACAATTACCACACAAACTGAACAACCTTTAATTACTACACGTTCTACATTCACGACAATGTCATCGAATGACAGTATTGCAGATATAATACATAATATTGATGCTAATACGACTGAACTGCCTGCGTTGCAAATTACAAATACAGTAGAACAGGAAACAGAGCTTCGAGAAGATGAATATAGTCCAGAATCGAATATGACTGACACATCAGTAACCATCGATGATTTTCAATCTCCACTTTTATCTGGTGCAAACGAACCGCCACACAGACCCAATCGTTCCCGAAGGCCACAACCGGCTAATCGGATAAATAAATTCAATCCATTTCGCATATTAGGTTAAGTTAGAATTGTAATGTACCATGTAGTGTGATTCGACTGCCAGAAGTGAATTATAACTTGAATACCTTTGGAGATGTATCGCCTAGTTTGTTAGTATTACTTGAATGTGTGCATTAAGTCATCAAAGTCTTTGATAACACTTCATTTTCTCTTTGTATTTCTTCTAAAACAAAATTAAATAGGTAAGTAATTTACAAAAAATAATTATGCTTTAAAAATTGCATATTGTAATAACAATTGATACTAATTTATAAACAGATTACTGTTTAAAGATAAGGATTACAAGATATTGTCTTCAATCTGGAATCGGGATTATATTGTGCCAGTTTCCGTAGTATCATCGTTAAAATTTTGTCAATACTTAGATATTTTACGGTGAGTCTCCTAGCTCTGGTCGGTATATCTCTAATTTGTAACATGGATAATGACTGAAAAATTCTACAAAATCTAATTAGATTAGAGTTAGTAGATTACAGTCACATTATGTGACGGCACAGTGCACTTAGCAGAAATGCGCTGTTATGTCACTTCGCGTCTCTTCTATTCACTACATAATTTCTAAGAGTGCACCTGAATAAGATAGTTTATTTTCCAATTTTATTTGCTCATATAAACTACACTAGTCTGCTGTAAACAAAATGTCGTCACGTTTAAAATTTGATATGAGGTATACCTGGTGGATATAATACAACATTTTCAAACTTATAAAATAGCATAGGACACTAAAATTATAGTATATCAAAGCTATGGGTAAAACATACAGAGCTGTTGTTAGACTTAGAAAACATTACGCTGAAAGGCACAATTTCATCCATTTGATCGTCAAATAGGTGACACTGTGCCTACCTAGATGGTGCTAGTTTTTCTAATTCATATTCTAAATGATCATTATTATTAATCACCAAGCAATAAAAATGATCATATTCTTTATAGTAATCTGTTTCACGTTTAAAACGACATAATATACCTTATTATGAATTATATATTTAAAAAGTACATTAATTGAAAAAACAAAAACTAAAAATAGCGCCATCTATTCAGCCAAAAACTAAGACAGTCAGAAGGAAATTCCTGTGTTCCACGTTCTCTATCATTGTGATGTGATCGTGTGAATTTTGACAAACTCGTTATCGATTAACTATAAACCTGCTATAGTCGACAATGTGGATAAGAAACGAACAAAGATTTGTGGACATAAAATAAAATCAAAATGGACATCCAAATTATTGTCATTAAGAAAATGAATTCCTTCAATAACATGTGGGATTGAGTTATTATTTTTGTAGTTAGGTGGAGTTGGCTGCTTTCTGCCCTTGTCACTTTCTCCAATCAATTAGCGTTTCACCTCGGTTGAGAAATTATAGCCAGAAACTTGTAGGCATACTGTTACATTTTGGAGTTCCAGCAGTTGTCCCAAGTGTTAAGAAATCCCTTGTCTGCATTGTAAATTATTCAAGGTCAAATGTTGTGCTATTAGAACGGTTCAATACCTGTATGTATCGGCGGGTATCGGCTCTGCACTCCTGTTGTACATTTAAATAGAAAAATCATAAACGCAAACTCTGAAAATTATAATACTAAAAAATCAAACAATGAGCGAAATTTCACCGCCCACTTTAGATGAATAAAATCTGTATGAACTAAAAATATAGCGACATTACATTACGCAAAAAACGCTGCAATGACATTAATATAAATTTCAGATCTTAACAGCTTTTATAGTCAAGCGATAGTTTCATTTCATAGATTTAATATGCTTCAATATGTTGCGCTTTCAAAAAATCTTAGTTATAGGTGGAGGATAGTTGATATTATGATAGTCAATTGATATATTTCAAAAATAGCATAGCTATAAAGTAATCGAAATTTAGTTTAGGTTCGCGAATACTTAGTAATTTGATAATCATTGTTAATATACAAACGTTTACAATTTGCCAAACTCTAATGGGGTATTAGATTATGAAGTCAATACATAATACATGGCACGAATCGTAATAATTAATTAAAACAATACTCAGAAATCTCGTAGATAATTAAAATCCATGAACCATATCATTTTAGAATAAGATACGTATGTTTAATGAATATATTTTTTGTGAAATTTGTAATGTTTTAAAGTTATATAAATATTATTGCACAAGTGAATTTATTAAGCAAGCGAAAGGAGATGACGTCACAAATCAATTTGACGTGTAATACATTTAATCGTTTATAGTTTTATGGTTTTTCATTTATATAATTGTATTAGTATAATAAATTTTCTACAAATAAATAATATTGTTGTTTCATTACTCATAAAATAAGACAATTAATCTAAAACCTTCTGAAAACTCTGTGAATAGGTATTAAAACAACAATTAAAAACGATAGATTATATAGACTCAACGCTAAATAAAGAGTTTGAAATTAAAATTTATTAATACCTTAAGGATGGATATCTGCAGTATATAAACAGAAAAAATGAACTCAAACTAGTAAGTCTATTTTAAAAATAATTATGTAAGAGATACAAATACATATATTATTACTAAGTAAAACTATAAGCTATATTTCAAAGACAAGACAAATATTATTACTAAACTTGAACTATATCTTTCCTTTCAGTATTCTCACACAGAACTGTGGTCAGATAATGACTCGGTCGATGACATTCATTGTGTGACATGCCGCTTCTGTTTGTCGTTTTCATTCGTCGATCATTGTTTTATTGACCAATGAGATCATCAGAGCAATTCCGTAAAAAAACGAACCCGAATTCGAAAGCGAACCCGCTTAACCTTAAATTGGTATCAACGTAGCGTGAAATAAGTGAAGTGAGTTACAAAATGACACAGGGATAGAACATCTGAGACACGTATGAATCAATAAATTTTGTTTTGTGTTTCTGCTAATATTTATGTAATAATCGCATTTCAATCGAATTTCAACTACTTACAAATTGCCATTGTTATATATCTGAAGTCCAATGATATTGTATATATGTCACCATTGCTCTGTGAGGAAGACATTGCACTAATAATATTGGACTTTAGGTAGATATCATAATGGTAAAGTGCAATTCGTTGAGATTCTATTATGTAAAAATTAACAGTGTTATTAATAAACAAGGTTTAGCGTTGGAGTAAACTTACGCTGAGATTGCACTTTGTATTAGTCAAAATTCATATTATTAAACAGAGACTTAGCAAAGGTTAACCTAGTACAAGTTTCTATGGGAGTAATATTTACTTCAAGAAGGTATTATATTGGCTTATTCTCTGTATAATATGAATTTAGATTAATACTAGAATTGTAATTTTAGCGTAAATTTACACTAACGCTAAAACTTGTTTATTAATAGCACTATAGCAGAATTGCTTTGCCTGCCAAGCCTGCTGTGTTACTGAACATTAGCGGTAATATATGTGGGAACATGTATATGTTTCTTCTTTAGTATAGTTCAAAGGCCGTGATCAATATAAGCGAATAATGTACAATTAGGATTTTTTTATCACAACATAACATGTTACCTTTAACGACACGAAGCCGCAGTTAACAGCTAATATAAATTATAGAGGGACCCAAAATTTTGACGGGTTTTTTTCATAAATTGGGGACATTAATAGACTGATAATATCGATGATACTCCACGGCAATTAGTTTTTTTAACATATTCAGCAATCATTGTCATAAACCTTTACACCAAACCCATCGCCACGAATTACTTACTTTATTAATGGAAGTCCCATGAAAATCCTTCTATAGTGATCTATTGTTTATCAAATTCAGGAAAATGAACTCAAAAGAAACTTTATTTATAGTAAATATGCATAATTATTACAAATTTACCTACAATAATTTATCCAACAAAATTAGCTACGAGAATGCAGAATATTTATAAACCTTACATTTTTCCCATGAAATGTGTTACAACCAAGTTAATGTACTTGAGTTATAACTACAATTCGAAACAGCGATAAATCACTAAGTTACTGTGTATTCGATGTAACGCCCACACCCAACACCCATTTGGAGCGAAATAAAAAAATATAACGCACCTTTATTCGAGTTCATAGATCTTAATGCCTCGTGAATGGAGATATACGACCTATATTAAGACCTATATAGACTTCTAGCTGTTGTCCGCGACTTTGTCTGTGTAGTAATGAAGATATGCATTACTATTAAGTTGATTAACGCTAAATCCCGTATGTTATCTATCTTAATAGATAGATAAATAGTGCCCGACGGGATCTATAATGATACTTTGATTTTTGTGAACTTTTTGATACTATATTATGGAGTGCAATAAAATAAATAAATAAAATACTGAGTATTTACATAATAAAAGAACACCCCTGTTAAATTTCAAGCTATAGAACTTGTGGTTTCTTAGAATTCATGATGAGTGAGTGAGTGACCTTTCACGCTAGCGGTTTCGCCCTCGTCGTCTCTAGGGAACTGCTCAATGGGACAAATAGTAGCCTCTATGTTAATCCAGGCTTAGAATTATCCATAAACCAAATTTCACCATATTTGTTTAGTAGTTTTGGCGTGCAGAAGTAACAAACATCCAAACTTACAAACTTTTACCTTTATAATACTAGTAAGATAAAATAGGGTTTCGGACGACGACGCTGCGATGCCAAGATATTGCAGAGCTTTTGACAATTAAGGGAATAATATATTACTTCATACTTCTATGATCACTAACGTTAGAATAATAATAATGCCACCAAAAGGTTTTGAAGCAAAATGTTTCCAAGAAGTAAATCATATGACCACACTGTCAAAAGTTAAAGAAATAATGGCACTTCAATAATGCCATTTTTCCACGAATTATTTACCTATAGCTAAATATTATTAGTGAAAGAGCATCTTGATGAATTATTTGTCATAAAATATAATTTGTCATAAATTCTTTTGTTATTTTGCGATATAGTTACAAAAATTGTGTTAAAAATGGTGTCAAAAGAGCTGCTATTGAAACGCCATTAGCAGAATAGAGCCGCAAATCTCATG